AACAGCAGTGCTGGGAGCAGAGGGGCTGCAAATTTTGGGGTGGATGCAGCATCCTTCCAGCACCGCCAGAGCCTGCTCTGAGCCCAGCCCCCACCGAGAAGAGCCCCCATCCCACTTCGCACAGATCGGGGGGCACACGCCTCTTCCCCCCATGCCCTCCCAGGGTGCAAGCAGCGTTACCCACTGGAGGCAGCTCTCCATGCTTCCAGCTGTGCTCCTTGCTGCCTGAGTGCTGCACTGCGGCTGCATGCAGCGCAAGCATTTATCGGCCCTATTGGGCCGATACCCGATACAGCCAGTTTTCTTATATTGGTACCGATTCAGTATCGGACCGATGTATCAGTGCACCTCTAATAACACAGTACCTTTTTAGACTATAAATTGTTTCCAGTTTGGCCCAATCAGAAATGACTTGAAAATGTTATCCAGTGGCTGAAGTTATAAATTGAGTTGGCTGTTTTAGTCTGTGATTTAGTAGACGCAAGTACATGTCTCAGATTGTTACAGCTGATGCCTCTGTTAATATTCTTGATAAGAAGGGCAAGAGGCCTTGCCTCTGGGAGTAGATCTACTGGGGTAAAATTGAAGGTAGGGCAGGGTGACATCTTTAGGGATTAACTAGTTCAGGCAGGAGCTTTTGAAGGCAACAACTTGCTTTTTAGATGCTAACATTACTATTGACGAAGTCTGTTGTTGGTGGCAAAAGCTTATGCTTCTCTGAACCAGTTTGAAATCAGAAGGTGTACGGCAAGGTGGCACTTTAGGCTAACACATCTAACTACTTCTGGGGTGAGATTAAGACTCTGGAATGGATGTGTGGAAAACCTTGTCCTTGCTGTATCAGATTGGTGGATAAATAGGGTTTTAGTCTTTAGTGTGGTCAGTAATGCTCAAGAAGTGCCCAAACTTCCTTAACTTTTTCTTTATTAAAAAACAAAACCCCATGAATGGAGTGGAAAATGAAGCATTTACATGTTCTGTAATAAGTTTCTGAACTGTGAACTTTGCTAGGGAGCAGGATGTTCACATAGCAGGAGTGCTTGTGATAGTCTGGTTGTAGGGGATCTGTATATAATAAACAACAAACTTTAAGAGGACCTTATTTGTTTTCTTCCAGTTTTGTTTGGCTATGCCACCACAGTTATTCCCCGGGTGTACACATACTACGTGTCAACTGCATTGTTTGCCATCTTTGGCATCCGAATGCTTCGGGAAGGCTTGAAAATGAGCCCGGATGAGGGCCAGGAAGAATTGGAGGAAGTGCAAGCAGAAATCAAGAAAAAAGATGAAGAAGTGAGTGAAGTAGGGATGATTTTGGAAATACTTAGTGCTCTGAAGTTGCACTGCTTGAAAGATCACACCTTTGAGTTCCTCAACTGTACATATGGTGGGTGAAGGTCTAACATTGCAAATGTTTAGCTAAACCAAACATCATGCAGAAATGACCTTTTTACAAGTGGGTGCATCATCTGCTAGTCTCCAGGAGACTGTTTTAAGAACTGGCTATAATCCTCTGAGAGAGGGCTGTCTTGGGGAAAGTTTTTTTCTGCTTAGTTTTTTCCAGTATGCAGTCTTTTTATCCATGGGGTTTATTAGCATAAATGATAATGACACTAGCACTACGGTTGCTTGAATTTTTGTAACACTCAGTACTATGATAAAAATGCTCACAGGAAATGCTAGTTTCATTATGGTTGTAACATTCTAGGCAGATCATTTATGGTTCCAAGGCATAGCTTTAGAAGAGTTTCTTTGGAGCATTAATTTTATTTCTCGTGATAGTTTCATTGTCACCATGCCCAGTAATCAGTTGTGGTTCTCCAGGCAGGTGATGGGTACAATCGGTTTCTTCTCAGAGTAATTTAAAAAGAGAACAAGTCAATGTGTCACTTTCTGAAAGAAAGTCTTGTCTGCTTTTAAAGCATAGCAGACAAAACAAAGAACAAACATTTTAATGTGGAAGAAATATAGCTTTTAAGATAGTAATTTTGAAGAAAGCAATGATCACAGCTATGTAAATTAAGATACCACCCTTAAACATTTAATAGCCAACAGCATTCAGTGACTAATAGTAACTTGGGAATCAAAGTACCAGTCTTGCATTTTTGTCTGCTGTTTGCTTTGGGTATCTGACATGACATTTCAGTTTTGATGTGCTGTTTGTATTCCAGCTCCAGAGAACTAAGCTGTTAAATGGGCCAGTAGATGTAGAAACGGGGCCTGGTACAAATATACCTCAGAAGAAGTGGCTGCATTTTATTTCTCCAATTTTTGTTCAAGCTTTTACTTTAACATTCTTAGCAGAGTGGGGTGACCGTTCACAGTTAACAACAATAGTCCTAGCAGCGAGAGAGGTGAGTGAGATACCTACTTCTGTCCTTCTCTCAATCTTTGCAGTAGCTTGGATGAGGATGTAGATAGGAACATAGTACTGGGAGGAGCAGCTTCTCAGGGTTTGCATTTTACAGTGGATCCCCAAAATGGGTACTTTGAATCCTCTTGCATCTATAAGGCACAGACCCAAAACTCTAAGAACTACCTTACAGCATGTTCTAGGTAAAAGCAGGGGGATGAGGGCACTGCCAATACTGTGCCACTGCAGTAACACAGAAGTGTAGTTGGTTAATATAACCTCAGAGGATGCCATGTTTTACCCTCATTGAAGCAGACGGCATAATTCAGTTGTGATGCACTTCAGATAACAATGAGTACTGCAGAATAGTTCATAAAATGGTGATTTTTGCCTTCATAGCAGGGTTTGACTAATGCAGGACTCCAGGCCTTATCTACCTCACCTCCTTCAATGAGGATGAATCAAAATATTGAATTGCTGCCGATTCAGAGAGTATCCTTTACCCTGTGCGCAGAGTGTGATGGGCATCCTGTGAAAACAATTGGATGTGATCATACTCGGGGCACATGCACAAAATTAATTCTGGCGTTTGCTAATGATAGTGATTTCTGTAGTGTTAATATTCTTGATAAAACTTCCTGTGTTTAACTTCCTAGATGTGTTAAAGCAAACTAGAGAGGGAAATCCATAGTGTGGCATCATAGTAAGATGTGGATCATCAGTGGGGCTGTCCCCATTAGATCCACTACAGAGCTTGCTGCCACCCACAAGTAATGGGGAAATGGGTAGCAGCAGTAGTGCGTGGTCATCCTCTCTCTGCAGGCCAGCATTAAACAGGGGTGAGATCCCTTGTTTTCTGGGTATTGCAGATATTAGCTGACAGCAGAAGAATGATGCAAGTCAGAAGTCCAGGCTTCCATTTTGGAACCTCTGGTTCATTTATTTCCCCCATGTTCAACAGCTGTTATGTCCCAACATCCAGCTCCTTGTCTAATCAGTTGTTTTCTACCTGTTTTTGTTTGTTTGTTTGTTTTTGTTTTTGTTTTCTTTGTCCCAGTCTCTTGTTGGTGCAAAAAAACCCTTCTTCCCCCCTCTCCCCCCCCCCCAACTGATTCTCTTTGGCTAATCTCTTTAGAATGGGGAGCCTTAACCTCGTGAAGCTGGACTCAGTGCCTTGTGGTAACTGACATGTTGATTATGGAAGATGGCTCACCTGGTTTGGAGGGACTGCTATTGTGATTCAGAAGTGCAGTCAGCATAAGTTTAAAGGCTAAACAATCATCATCTTATCCCAGGGATGGCTGCATATCTATTGGGGGTCAGGGGGGACACAAGTAATTCCAAAGTCCTAAACTACTTGAGGATGTTGTCTTGGTTGAAACATTATCCAGCTCTGGATGGATTTTTTTTTTTTTTTTTTTTTTTTTTTTGTGAGATTAAGGCTCACATTCATAATTAGTGGCCTAAATAGGAGTTGGTGCCTAACTTTCTACTGATTTGCAGTGGGATGTTATGCACCAAACTACTTGTGTGTATCTGGACCCAACTTGCTTTGTGGCTTTCTCTTCCATCTTCCAGGAAGCAATTGCTGTTCAACCATGCTAAGCCTTTCTGCATATTTGACTGTGTTCTCTGGGGTTATGTTTGCCTTACTGGCAAAACTAGGAAAACATAATTCTTTCCTGGTAAACTGCTGTTTGTATTTTTGTAGATCTTTTTCAGTGCTGCTAATGACCACTTTGTATCTGCTCAGGATCCCTATGGCGTGGCAGTGGGTGGAACAGTGGGACATTGCCTTTGCACTGGTTTAGCGGTTATTGGAGGACGAATGATAGCACAAAAAATCTCTGTTAGGACTGGTAAGTACAGTCTTTTTGCCTGCAAAAACATACTTGCTAAGTAAAGCTCTGCCTATCTGCAGGAAGGTCAGAATGACAAGGTTTAACATCCTTGAGGTGGAGTTATAGGCAGTGGTTTTTAACATTCAAACTTTGGGAAGAAGCTGGAAATGTTTTGTAGATGCAACAAGACTTTTGTAAATACAGGCATGTCGCATCTTATGCAGGGGTTAGATTCTGAGGTCAGCGCGTAAGGTGAAAGTCGCGTATAGTGGAGGCGGTGACTGCCTCTGCCTCCAAAACCTCCCGCCGCCACCACAGAGCCGTGCTTGGAGCTGTGCAGCCGGTGGCAGCAGCGTAGCATGGTGGGGGGGGATGGCTGCATGCTGCCAGGCCACCACCACGCTGCCAAAACCTCCCGCCACCACTGCAAACTCAAGCCCCGCTCCCACTCTCACCCCGCGTATAATTGAAGTCGCTCAAGTTAAATGCACGTATGACATGACTGTACTGTACTGTTAGTTCTTTCTCTACCTGTTTCATGACTGCTTATATCTTCTGGAGAGGAGAACTATCTTGGTAGAACCTACTATGCTGTGCCTGTTCCTTACTATTTTGCTCTTGCTTCTGCTAGGGGCAGAAGCAAGCACAAAACTCTCTGTAGTCAGTCGCAATTGGGTTGAGTAACTTGGTTTAAAAAGATAAAAGGCTTGTTGCAATTTGGGGTGCCGAGTCTTAAAATCAAATGAGGTGTGTAACTTAATATTTCCTCCTGATGAACGGAGGAAGTAAATGTATAGCATTTCTTGTATGCTTGTATACTGTTTAGCGAAGAGCAACAGGGATATGGCCAAAATGTAGAGTAGGACTTTTATCTAAAGGAGTTAGTTAGTGGATACTCCATGAAGAGCAGTTATACCTACCTACATCTGCCACTAGGTACCAGGTGGGGTATGTTCTCCTTGGATCAGGCCATAAGTTGTTCAGTTGTTAGCCTGAAGTCTGGCAAAAGGTAGAGCAGGTTGGAACCTTAGATACTAATTAATTCAGAGGCATGAGTAGGCTACAACCTACTTTGCTAGATGGTATGAATGGACCTATTCATAGCATCTGGCAGAGTATGTTGTTACGTTTGAAAACTCTTGCATCTCTGAACCAGTTACTCTAATGTGCCATCTTGCCCTCCCTTCAGTTTTATTCAGTATCCCACTAACCTAGTACAGGCTTGCTCTCTTTCTCCAGAGTATTCAGAAACAATTAGAGAACCAGTTTCTGCAGCAGTAGAATATATGCAAAAAAGCTATTGATGAAAATTGCAGGATCTTATTTCAATTAGCCATGAAAATAGATTAGCAGCTCATCAGCAAATGGTGATTTCTCTTGAAGTTCTCTGCCCAGAACAAGAGCTGCTGTGCTAAAAAAGAAAAAAAAAAAAAAAAACGGATTTCAACACAGTATCAGTAGGATAAACACTTGCTCTCTCTGCGCACATCTTCACCTTAGTGTTGACCTCTTTCTCCCCTCACTTACCCATCTACAATTAAAAAAACCCAGTTCTGGGGGGAGCAGCTCTTCTGCGAGTAAACTTAAGGCAGTTATAAGTCCTTAAGGCTTGTGAGATCCAGAGAGAGAGAGAATTAAAACCCCACTTTTTAATTAATTTGTGGAGCCAAAACGCCTCTAGTTTCATCAGTGCAATCACACAAGTATACCAAAGGGCTGACACTGGCATGGGGGCTGCACAAGCTGAAAATAGCTTCTAGCGTTGGTAGCTAAAGTAAATTATAGACTTACCATTTGGTAGAACAGTGATTCTTAACCAGGGTGCTGCCAGATCCTCATGGAGGGTAGTGTGAGGAGGTAAGAGGAAGCCTCTACTGCCAGTGCCTGGCCCCTGTGCAGGAGGTGTAAGCACTATAGTATATAAACTAGTTTTTTAAATGGGGTACCATATGAAAGTCATGGCGAAGTGCCTAGAGTCCAAAAAAGTTGAGAACCACTAGTCTAGGATTTGGACCAGAGAAATGGAGCCCTCTGAGGCATTGTAGAAGGGGATTTAATAGTAATCTTTTTCTTTACAGCATTTAATACTTTCTTTTTCCCTCTCTTTCAGTGACAATCATAGGAGGCATTGTTTTCCTGGCATTTGCATTCTCTGCACTATTTATAAGCCCAGACTCTGGTTTTTAATGAGCTTTATCTTTAAAGAGCAAGGATCAAGAGCAAAAGTGGGTCCTTGTAATTTCTGTATATAATGTACAGTAATATAGTTATACAAGCACTGAAGATGACACTGTACTTTTATTAGCAATGATTTGCAAGTTTGGCACTCTGCTGGACATTTTTCTGCGATGGAGATATGCTGATTGTCTGGTTTTGCAGAGCATATTTTTTGTGGTGCTTGCTCCTCCCTTGGGCAGTGAGTAGCTTTTTATAGCTGTCCCTGGCTCAGATGGATTTGAGAATCTGCATCTACAAATACAAGGTCTCTTTCCTCCTTTCTCTGTTGCATGTGGCTACCATTGCCACTTCTAGATCTTATGCATCTGACTGGATGACAGGCCTTCTGCAGCTGGCAGTAATATGATGTTACAAACTGCTCCATAAAAAATATCACCTTGAAGTCCAACACTTTGATTCCAGGATGCATCTGATCTTGGGTAGACTGCACAGCAAGAAACTGAAGAGCAGTTCCTTACCAACAAACAAGAGCCACCTACAGAGAATTTTTAAATTTACTTTAAAGGGAAAACTGATAATCAGGGGGTTTTATCAGGAAGTTGACAAGTGCTGATTCACAACCTGCTGTTTCAATATACAATCTGTCTAGATATGATTTTTCTTTACTGGACTAGTTCCTTTTTTGTATTAAGTTGAAAACTACAAACATACGTCAGAGTAACAAAATGGTCCAGATATGACCGCATTGCATTCCCAGCATTTGAACAATAATGGATTTAGATTTGATGCATTAAAAATATTATTTTTAGAAATTAGAAGTGTAAACTGGAGGAACCATAAATAAAACAGTGGTGTCTCTATTTCAGTTATTTTTTCAACTGCCTTTGTGATGTTTTACTTGACCCCTTAATAAAGAGCAACATACTAGCTACTTATTAAAGGTCATGGAAGGAATTGTTTTTTGTTTTTATCCAGCCATTATTGTAAAGGACTATGTGAACTTTTATTCTTGGAGTATAGTAATTTTTAACAGCTGGCTAATTGAACTGTTTGTGTAATTACCTTTTACTACTTAAACAATGGTTCTGAATTCACACCAACTGAGTGGGGGGTATAGTGCTGTGTTTTAAGATGAAATGCGTCCCACAGGAGATCTATTCTTATGATGTTTAAGCTTTTAAATACTAAGTGGTGCTGGAAAGACTTGATTGATGGAAGTTGTATTCTTAAGCTATAAATGTCACACATTCTTTCCCTGAAATTTCCAGGGCAGCAAGTTAACTCCCTTTTTGGAAGCTTGCACAAGCTATAAATTGCTTGTGAAATAGCATAGGTATAAGAAAAATAGTCACAAATGAAGTGATGTCAAAATGTTGGGCAGAAAAAATGTTCCTCTTACTTCAAAAACTAGGCTTCTAGGGCCCCTGGCAGATCTTACACTTAAGATGGGAATTTAATCACAGCTTAAGTGTTTAGCTTGGTCCCACATTCACACACTTGTAGAATGAGGAATCTATTACAATATTGCTACGCTATGTAATTTTGTGGCTGGGTCCCATTACAGCACAAATTAGATGTGTAGCTGGGGCATTCCCAGCCCAGGGAGTGCCAGTCTAAATTGTGTGTCTGACAGCAGGAGCCATTTGGGAGCACGACACAGTAGACTGACACTTCCAGTCACAGGTACCTTGCTTGCTATGTGTTGGTTTAGGAGCAGCCCAGGATCATAATTCTGGGCATCCCCTGCACTGGCAGCAGGATGTAATTACACCTTCTGTCATGCACATGTGGCAGGAAGCACAGTTGTTTGGCTTGTGGCTCATCCTATTGCGCCTCCAACTGAACCTCTGGCAGCAGCCTAAATGACAACAACCTCTCCGACCATGTTACTCAAAACTTTCTTAGATTAGTAAAACAGTTATACAATTATAAAAAGTAAGGCTGGAAGGGACCTTCAGAAGTCATGTAATCCAATCCTTATCTAATCTATTTGTAAAACTACAGTCAAGCAAGCATAAGGCATAATACCCTAACCTGTCACCAGTGCGGCAAGGAACATTAGTGGCCACTGACCTGCTGCCATGTGGGTAGTTTTAAAATATGATCAAAAAGTCCCAGGAAGACAGCCCTAGCCTCTGCTACAGAGGAAGGCAAAAAACCCTTGTAGAGAGGGATCTACCCAACTTGCTGTGAGCAAAAGGGAACTGTCTGTCATACAGAGCCACCCCCCTTCCCCTGCCTTGTGGGGGATGTGGTGGGGGGGCTACATGATGAGCAGCCCCCTCTTAGCCAGTCAGCAAGGGGAGGTGCATCTGCCATCTTGGCTGCTACCCTTTGTGCTGGCCACTCCCATTCTCTGGCCCCCCAGCAGGCTGCCAGGTCAGGCCACAGCATCCACAAGGACCAACTTCTGGCTCCCACTGAGGAGCCAGCATTTTATTGTTTTTTTTTTATTTAGATTGGACAGACAATGTCTGATTTCATGGTTTCTGCAAAGTCTTCAAAATTGTGAATTAAGTCAGTCCTGAGCTATAAGTCATACCAAGCTGACCATGGGGTAAAATTCCATCCTGATCCCAAATATGGCACTTGGCCTGATCCTCAGCTGAGGTTCCTCCCTGTAGTAACTGAAGGATGGTGGAATCCTTCTAGGTCCCACTTTGCTGGTTGCATGTGGCAACCAGCAAAGCCCAGAAGTGTGAGAAATAGCCAAAGCAGAGCATAGGCATACCTACTCCCAGATCATCCCTGACTGTTGGTTAGCCAACCTCTTCTCGAACACCTCTAATGAAGAAGATCCTACAACCTCCCTAGGCAGTCTATTCCACTGTGTTACTATTCTAATCTAATAAATATTAAGGAGACTAAACACTACTATAGAATAAATATTATTGGCACCTAGGAAAAAAAAATACAAAGGGACTTGGGTCATTGAAACAATCAATTTATCTTGAATGCTCTCAAGTCCCTAATACACTAGTCTGACTGCAGCCTCTTTACATGATTCTTGCTGATATTCCAGGATCGCATCTTTGGAGACCACTGAAAGGGGATCTGACTGCTCTAAAACTGGTGCATATGGGAGGAGGCACGCAAATACTATCAAGCAGCAAAATAGTCAAATGTCCCTTAAAAGTTTTAACAAACTAGACAAGACCTATTATGTATGGCTAATGGCCCAGGCAGGAAGGAGAGTTGTGTATTTCATGTCACCTGCATAATCTCAAGGTGCAGTATGCTAAAATGGTCAACAGCAAAGGTGATCACCAGCTGTGATAAATGCAAACTTGAACTGTCCCAGAAAAAAACCCACGCAGACCATGGAGTAGGTGAGACAGGTGGTTATAATGGTTTCCTGGCACCTGTGGATGATCTAGGAGGCAACAAGCTTATTGTTTCTATACATTTCCTCTGAGGTTGGATAGAAGTCAGCAACAAGGCATGAGGAAATCAGAACATGCCAGAACAGATCACTTGGCTATCAAACCCCAACTTGCATTAAAATCCCCAGTTCTAAAACCAAGGACTGCTGAAGTTTAGTGAAAGTGACACCCATTTGCTGCAGCACCTGGTAACAGCATCAGTGGCAATGTTTTCACTCCAGTTTGGTCAGCTGCCTTGTCTGTCTATACCATTAATGGCTGCTTAAAAGCAACATAATATCAACAGGCCACTGGCCTGGTGCTGACAAGGATATCTGCAGTATTTTACTGTATTTTCAATTCACAGATGCAAAATTAGAGCCACCAGAACAGGGTTACATAGTAGCAAAGGGAATGAAAAGTTGCAACATAATTTGAGTGGCAGGATTGATTATCTCCACCTCTTGTTCTGCAGCTGCAAGATGGGGGAAGAAGAGGGTTATAATCAGCAAGGATCTTAGTTTTCTGTTTGCTGTGGGAAAACATGGATTGTCTCCTTTAATGGAGAAAAATGTTTTCCCCTTTTAAAGAAGAAAAAAAATGGGAAACAGCAGGTTTCTCCTTGCAGGCCAGCAGAGTTCCAGCCTGTAAGGGGTTGCTTGGGGCTGGGGGGAGCGGGACGCAGGGGATGCCACATGCATGTATGCACATGCACATAGCAGTCAGGCAGCAGTGGAGAGCAGCTTCCTCCAGGTAAATCTATGGGGGCAGGGACTGGGGTGGGAGAGGGCACAGGTGATGCTCCAGGGGGGCATGTGCCCTCCTAGATTTGTTTACCCAAAGCAGGGTGTGGGTTTGGCCAGGCTGTAGCCCTGTGCCCCATTTTGGGCACAGAAATCTGGGAGGGGCACATGACTCCACTGCATTGCCTGTGGCCGCCTGTCCCTCCATGCATCACCTGTGCCCTTATCCCCCTTCCTCCACGCCCATAGACTTACCTGGAGGGATCTGTGGAAGCTGCTTTCCACCACACTACCTGGCTTCCACATGCACCCCCTGCATCCTGCTCCCCTCAACCCCAGGCAGCCACTTGCAGACTATACCTTTGCCAGCCTGCAAGGGAATACCCAAGGTTTCCCTGTTTTTTTTCCCTTTAAAGTAGAAAATCCACTTTTTTCTTGTTTAAAGGAGAAAATCTGCATTTTTCCATGGCAAACAAAGACCCCAGATCCCTGGTTATAATGCTTTTAGTCTATCTGAGAAGTATTTTAGAAGCATGGGTAAGCCCTTGTTGTGGTTAGTTAAATTTTATACACTTCAGCATGAGTCATTCAAATGCTCATGGGTGTCCCAGCCGCCTGTGGAGGGTTCGAGATTGAGAGTGTGGTCGGGGGTAGAAAGGTAAGAAAGGTTTATCGACTTAACAAACACACAACTACGTGTAAATAACAAAACAAGGATAGACCATAATAATTCGCATTGGCAACTTATCGGCAGTGCCCTCTGATGCCTGATGTACGACAAGTTTCTCTTCTGCAAAGCTCAGCGAAGTCAGGCGTTCCCGATCAGTGCTGTCCGAGGGGTACCAGGAAGAACCCTGGTATTCAGTCCTTAGGCTCCTTGAGATCCATAGGCCCACTGAATCCAGGTCAGCAGCTAATCTGTAGTTCCTTTCACAGAGCTGTATCTTTCTTCTAAATGATTTCTGGATGTGCCAGCCAATTTATAACTTTTGAGCTATGCTGATAACTTACAGCCATTCGGATTCTCTTTTCTTCAACTGTCCTGAGACTGACCAATAGCAGTACAAGCCTTGCATTCTTTTGATAAGGTTAATTTTTACTATGCCACAGGGCCTACTACTTCAAGGCTTTGCTAAATTTACTAGGCTTTACTTCATACAAGGTCTTACTACATCTTTGACCTTAATTAGGCTCTTAGCAACAACATATAGCTTAATAGCTGAACAAATGACAGAAAAACACTTTCTCTAATCTTCATAGAGCCTTCAGCAAGCACCTTTATCACACAGACAATTCTCAGCTGTCACATGGGGTTTTTTCCTCATTTAATTTAAATGTAAAAAAAAAAACATATATTGACTTCATGGCTATTACCTACTTGACTCTTCCTGATCTCTTCACTCCATAGGTGTTAATTAACCCTTGATCTTCCACTAATCAGGCCTCCTTTCTTCTGCAATTAGCCTGTCTGTTATCTACTAGTGATGTTTCTCACCCCCGCCCCCCCGCATGTCCAGTGAAGGTGTGCTGCTACCTAGGGATTTGTACTGATAGCTTTGTTCCTAGGCAATCCAAACCCACAACAAATCAGAGACAGGGAGAGGAGGGGCAGGGCTGAAGTCAGGTTACACCATGTGGTAGCACAGTGTCACATGGTCAGGTACAGAGTGAGGAAGGAGTTGCAAAGATCAAGCAAAGAGGCAAGCTGTTACAGCAACCCTTTCATGGGGTGTCTTTTCATTGCAGCAGGTGACAGGTGGTGTGGGAGTCTGAACCATTTCCTGTGACAAATGGTCCATTTTTCAAAATAAAATGCTGTTTAAGAGACCATTGAACAACCACCTTTCCTGCGGAGGAGTAGTGTGTCCTAGTCTCTTGCCTGCATGGCTATATTAATTTTTATGCTTTAGACATCCTGCAGTTCAATTCAAAACAGGCAAAAGACAGGGTAGAGATGCACCTCATAGACTAATTGAACCAGAGATGCAT